TTTTTTTTACTTAAATCTACTTTTTTTATGTAATTTATATTACATAGTAGCCTTATTTACTGCTTAAAGCTTTATAATCTTTTTTTACACTAATACTAGCTTATGCGCAATAATTGCTGCCCTTTTTAAGACCTTTTTAAAGGCCTTTACTATAAATATTAGTAAGCTATTTATATACTTCTAAATTTTTATTTTTATAAGCATTAATTATAACTTAAATTTAAAAGTATTACTTAAGGTTTATAACTGCTAGAGCTTATTATTAATAAGTAGTAGTAGTAATAAAGTACACAACTAGATATTAAAGGCTATTTTAACTTATTTTAAGTTAAATAAGACGAAACTAGCGCCTTAAAACTCTTTTTAAATATTACTAAAAGTAATTACTATATTATAGCTTAACTATTTCTAATTATATGTAGCTATTTCTAAATTTAATTAAGAAAGTGTCTACTAAGAAGACTTTAAAGAGATTTTTTTTTACTTTATATAGTATGTTTTGTTAGTCTACCTAGTTAAAGTTAATAGCTGTAAATGTATATCTACTATTTATTAGTGTAACTTCTTTTTTTTTATTAAAAGTAACTTTTATAGTAAGGCTTTTACTAATTCTTTGTCTTACTGCTACTAGAACTTTAGCGTTATAATAGATTTCTTTATAGTTAAGTGTGTTATCTAGTTTAATGTTCTTTATGTTTTATTCTTATGCGCTTATCTAGTCTATCTAAATCCTGTACTGCTAGTGTCCTTAGATTATGCAGTCTTTAAGTAGGTAGTCTCTATTTTTAACTTAATAGTGCTAGGGAAGCTAATTATTCTATTAATGTGCTTTTTACTAAAAGTAGTAAAAGATGTAGCTTCTATTGTTTTTACAGTCTGTCTATGCTTTTTGTTTGTAGTCTAGACCTGTGCTGCAGTAAAGGAAATGCAGCATTTTACATTTTATTGCTATTCCTTCTAAGGTGTTATTACCTATACTGTTTTTCTTTATTAATTATAGCTACTATCTTGCTTAATGTTTTATAGGCTAGTGCTGTATATAATATTAATTAGTGCATAAGTACTATTTAAATAAACATTTTTTTTAACTTTATATAGACTAGTACTAGCTATACTTATGTTTATCTAGAGTACTCTTTTGTTTATATAATTTAGAGAGGGTGTGCTTTATACTAATAATTAGATTCCTTATGTTATTTGCTTTTATAAAGAATATAGTACTAATTAGTTTACTAGGTTTTAAGTTCTTTCTTAGTTATTATAAGTGTAGGGAGTAGTGTCCTAGATCTTTTCTAATAAGAGTGTAAGGTCTAAAGCAACATGCTTAGTTATCCTAGGCTTTCTCTGTTATAGAGGATTTTCTTAAAGAACTTTTATCTTTTAGTCTTATTTAGAATCTTATAGTGTACTTTAGTAATGTTTAAAATAACCTTATATATGTTTATGTTATTATTAATGTGTACTTTATAGTATTTTTTATAGTAGTTGTAGTTATAGATTTTTCTACATTTCTAACATTTACTATAGTAAAATTAGTAGGTAAGCTTTTCTATAGGTATGCCTGTTATTAGTTGTTTTAAGGGAAATTTTCTTTTACCTTACTTTATGTTTTTAACATAGTTTATAGCTTATATTAAATTGCGCTATTCTTTAAGAACAGCAACTTATTTAATTACTTAAAGAGCCTTATAGTTATTTTAAACTTCTACTTTCTAGTAATTTCTAGGATAGTTTAGTAGTTTGTAATTAGCTTTATGTCTTTAGCAAAGTTGTTTATTAAGTTTATTATAAATTTCTTTTAACATTAGTTTTTATTCTATATGTATAACTTTTATAGCTAGTTTCTTATTTTTATTCTCTAGGTTTCTAGAGTTTAGACATTTTTAATAGAAGTAGCCTACTTTTTTTTAGTTTAGATAGACTTTTTTTTAAGCTATTTTTTTTTATTCTTTGCTTAAAGGTAGTTTGTTACTGTGACAGCGTGTACCGCGTCACATGCTCTGCGGCATCAGCTCCCTCGCTTGCGCAACGAGTAGCACCTTAGTGCAACAAGTAGCGCCTTAGCAGGGGGCACACATGTATATTTAAACTCGCAGAGCAGCTCCTCTGCTCCTTAGTTTAATCTAGTTGAGTTACACCACCTCTTGCTTGTAGCTTGAGCATGCCGACCGTGACAGTTACCTTTAGAAGAACTTTTACTCTTTTTCTTAAAAGTACTATATGTGTGTTTTACATAACTAAGGTCTATTAGCTTTTTATTATATTAAAGAGCTTTTTTTTTTTAGCATCTATTCTAACTTCTAGGTTGTTATGCCTGTTTTTTTTTTCCTCTAACATTCTATATATCTTTTGTTATAAGTTATTACTTAGTTAATAAATTTTTTAAGAGTCTTTAGTTTCTTATTATGTATAAATTTATTCTTAACTATGTTATTTAGCCTATTATAGAACATTCTACTAATAGCTTTTTAGTCTGTCTATCTACAGATAGCTAGTTGTTTGCAGAAGTAAGCTGCATAGTGTTAGACTATTCTTTTTCTCTTTATTATAGAGAGTTTATTTTATCAACTACTTTTTTTTTAATTTACTAGTTTATAAATAGTAGTTAAAGCTTTTTTAAAAAAGTTAATGCTACTAAAAATTTCTTTTATCTTTAATAAAAGAGTTTTTTTATTAGCTCTAAAATTTATCTAGCTGTCTGTGTAAGGTTAGAACTAAATAGCTAAAGAGCTTTTTAAATAGAGTTCTATCTAAGAGATTATTTCTTTGTAGGTTTAAAAGGCACCCTTATTATATTGCATGTAGAGGTAGCATTGTGTAAAAAAAGTGTTGCGTTTGCTAAAAGGTCAACCTTCTAGCTAGCACAGCAGAAGGATATATGTAGATGGATAGCTGTACGTGACACACCCCCTAGCTTAAACTGTGGAACAAGAGAGGTAAAACATAGTAAAACAACCTTAACACACCCTCTCTAGCCTAAGTAACAGAACTTAGAGACAGATCTAGTAAAGTAGCCTCTGTAATAGATGTACTGCCTAAATGCTTTTTACTAAGTGTAGGAATTAAACACACAGTGCTTAGAAATAATGCAATTCTATTAGTAGAGCAGGGGTGCGCAAATTTTTAAGCGCTAACTATCTACACTATGCTGCAAACTAGGCTTATAACTGTTGCGTTTGCTAAAAGGTTAACCTTCTAGCTAGCACAGCAGAAGGATATATGTAGACAGATAGCTGTACGCGACAAAAAGGCTTAAGGTCCTTTACACTTTTGCTAAAAAGCTTAGAGGGTGCTAGCCTTAACATCTTTTTAAAGTCTACACTTAGTTTTTTCTAGGCTGCATTCCTTAGGTTTAATATCTTAAGTTAAAGGGCTTAGATCTAGAAATTTGCTGCTGTTAGTTCTTAGTTTACTAACTAGGTTAGCATTTATTTTAATGTAGCTACTTTGCTTTTTAGATTGTTTAACTGTTAGTTTATTACTTCTTTATTTAAAGTTAGAATTTAGCTAGTACTAGCTAACAAGACGCTAGTTATTTTTAAGTTAGTAGAGGTAGTATAGAGATTTATACTTTATTAGAGAGTAGTAATTAATGTTATAATCTTTACTTTAAAAAAATAGTGTCTAAAGTACTCTAGGCCTATAGAGAGGGTTAGGAGGGTAGAAGGGTAGAGAACTTAGTCTAAATAGGTGTACAGTCTACTAAGGCGTAGTTACTAGGACAGGAGGGGCAGCTAACTGTAGTTTGCCCTTTAACAGTAGTATAAGGTGCTTAGGTTAAACAGTTCTAGTAACAGAACAAAAGAGAAGGTATATATAGTGCAAGATATACTATTAAATTACTTCTTATTAAAAAGTAGCAAAGCTACTTAGTCTATGTAAATAATAAACTAAACTTTAATTACAGCTTCTAAGTAAAGTTAGGATCTTGTACTATATACATAGGTTGCATGCACTGCATGCATTGCATGCAAACGTTTCCTGCTTATTAGATAACGCATTCTGCTGCACATTAGTCTAACAGTTTAGTCTATTCTTTGTCTGTTAAGTTACGTAATTTGTTAGGCAGGGAATTAAGGACTTTCTATCCTTAATTGTTTAAACAGTGGGGCACAGCTGACTGGTCGCTTACAGTCTAATTGTGGATCGTAACACTTTGCAGATACTTATTCTACTTTTTTTTATATAGTAAGCTATTATATCTTATTTTATTAGAGTTTTATTATAGTATTTATATTCTTTTCTTAGAGTAATCTTCTATATTTATATAATTAGTTCTTCTACTTAAAGTGTTAGCTTAAACGTTGTTCTTTCCTGCTATATGCTATATTATAAAGTTATAGTGTGCTAATTCTATTGCCTATTATGTTTGCCTTTAAGTTAGGTCTTTAGTAGTTATAAAGGTTGTAAAGTTTTAGTAGTCTAAGAATACTTTAAACTTTTATGCTGTTTCTTGTAGCAGCACAGGCAAGACAATAGGTCTAAATGCGGTAGGAATCTACTTAGAGGCATATAGGAGTGCGTGGGGACTTAATAACCTAGGAATTCCATTAACACCTATAGGCCTCGTACAAAGGATATTAGAAAACTACTAAGCTAGCTAAGGGAAGAGGTGCAACTAAATACTTAGGGGAATAGAGGTAACTGCAGGGGACAGGGTCAAGTTATGGTCGGGGCCGATACAGGAACCCTTCGGATAGGTTCTGAGCGACCTGAGATGGAACAATTCATAAGAATTGTTGCATTTCTATAAGTTCTATTCTCTATATTTATAATACTTGTATGATAGCTAATAGCTTTTTATTATAGATATTATAGTTAACTTAGTTCTTATTAAACTTTTCTAATGTATATGCTATTGCTATTTATTATCTTATTTTTTTTAATAGCATACTTCTTTTATTAAATAGTTTAATGCATCTATGTAGACTTTTATACAGAAGTATATATATATATACTTTTTATTATTCTATAAGCATATATAGCTTATTTTTGTCCTGATGCAGCTGGAGGGAAGCGATAGGAGAGTATACCATAGGGTAACGTCTCAGTGATGTCACGGGTGGGAGGTCCATACAGATGACTGTCAACGGTGTTGGGTCGCCTCAACGTGCGGAATAGGAATCCACGACTGTTGTAGCGGCTACCGTAAACGATGCAGGCATATGCATACAGCGAAACCCTGACTGTCGATATATTGCTTTTCATTACAGCGTTAATTGCTCTTTCTGTACTTTAGCCATTTTCTGCTACATTGTCGTCAGTAAACAGAGTAGTCATTGGCAAGTCTGGTAAAGGTACGGGCTGGCCATTGTACATCGACGGGATGTTGTTAACTCCGTACCAATAGTCTGGAGTGGGTGCTTTTTGCAGTCAACGTGTCGACTGGGTGGAAACAGTTGAAGGAGTAAGTGAGGAGGTATCGAGATTGAGAGTACTAAAGATTATACGATATTTTTCTGCCATGTCACGAACAAGGCAAACGACACGAAGACTAGAGCTAAATAAAAATGAATCACTATCTGATCTAGCAACAGAAAAGGTAAAACAACAGAAGGCAATTCGAAGTACACAGTAAGCCACTCTCAACGTCAGGAGATCAACTCACCTCCCACTGGATCCATTACCAAATTCTGTGCTGCCATGAAATATGTAAACCCAGCCTTCTTAGCCTGTCCGAACCAGACTAGTATCCGAACGCTCGGCAAATTACGCAAATGGTCTGTCGCGCAAAAGAGCCGCAATGTCGTCTACAGACACCCTGAGCATCGCCTCGTGATGCAGCATCTCCACGAAAATGCCATCTCTGTCATGTAGATCCTCGCCGATGCCGAAACGTGCGGCACGATGAACCGCCTGCACGATTTCGTGAACAGGAAGGACGTCCACCGTACCCTTAACGCTATCAAAGACCAGTCGTGTGCCCAGTTAGCCAGCTATGCTCAGCAGTTCGGTGACTACAGCGGACCGATCCGTTGCATCCCCGGAAGCGGCTTTGGGGAGGCCTGTGGGACGGTGAATGTAGACCCGGATCTTCAACGCAGCGGCGGCACTTTGTAGGAAAGCCTCGGTGGCCCACTTTGCAGCAATGTAATGGTCGCTGCCGTCTGGTGGTGGTGTAGTGCTGGCATCAGTATAGGCCTTGACTGCACTAGATGATATGAAATGTATGGAAATAGCGTGGTGTGCCGCCAGCCGCGTTAGTTCCTTGACCGGATCAAGATTATCGGGTCACAAGACCTCGTACGGTGCTGACCCCATGGAGCTTCGATCCAAGGTGGCCCGGGAGCATTTTCCAGGCACATTTGTGCCTCTGGGTTCCCGCAAAACGCAAATTCACGGTTTCCACAAAATCGATATGCCGAACAGCTTAAACTGTACCCTTTTCTTCCGCTTCCTTCCGGAAATCTTGAAGTGCTTCGAGAGAGGTTAGAGTATCTGGATGGGTCGGCCCCAATACTTCCTGTCGATGTCGCGCAACAGCCTCCATCATTTTTAAAGCTTCGGCATCCCTACCTTGAGATTTCCATGTGCACGCTAGATTGTGCATGCTCGTCAAGGTGTCCGGATGCTTCGGCCCTTGATGATCTATCCTCAGTTTGAGAGCCAAACCCTCAATTATCGCCGCCTCAGCGTATTTCCCAAGAGCCCAACAGGTAAGGCCAAGATTCGACATAGCGTTCAGAGTCGACGAGTGTGTCTTCCCGAGCAAAGCTTTCCTTTTCTCAAGAACTTGTTCTTCCAACTCGAGCGCCTTTTCTAGTTTGTTTTGCTTCCGGTAGGTGGTTGCAAGGTTGGCCATACTGTTGAGTGTATCTGGATTATCGACGCCGAAAAGCTTCATTCGCAACTCTAGCGCATGCTCTTCTATGACTTCGGCCAGCTCTACTTGACCCTGTTGACTGTAAGATGCGCCAAGGTTTACGATGCCAAGAATCGTATCCGGGTGTTCCTCTCCCAGGATTTCGCGCCTCCGCTCAATCACCTCGAGTAATAGCTCTTGCGCCATGTCCCATTTCCCTAGGCTACAATAGGTAGCTGCAAGGTTCGCCATGCCGTTCAAGGTCTCGGGGTGATCTATTCCGTTCAGTCTCTTCCGAGTTTCCAATATTTTTTCCTCCAGCCTTTCTGTTTGATCCCATTTGCCAAGTTTCCACCAGGTTGTGGCTAAATTTGCGAGTGACATCAGTGTCTCTGGGTGATCTATCCCTTGTACCTCTTTCGAAGCTTCTGAAACTTCTGTTTCGATTTTCTCGGCGTCCTTTTCCTTTCCCTGAAACCAGTACAGGGACGCTAAATTAGAAAGATCGGTAAGCGTACTTGGATGCCGTCTGCCTAGGATCTTCTCTTTTATCAAAATCACATCCTCTAAGCACTCTTGACTCTCTTTCCAACGCTTAAGATGGTAATAGGCCAGGCCGAGATTTGCCTTACAGTTGAGGGTGTCTGGATGCTCTTCGCCGTACATAAAAATCATATCATTCAAGGCTTGAGCTCCTAAGTCACGAGCCTCCTCGTATTTCCCGAGACTTCTCAATGTTGATGAAAGTGCAACCAGTGTGTTTAAAGTCTTGGGATGATTACTACCCAGGACACCGGACTCGGTTTCCATCACGTGACGGAGTAGTTTCTCTGCTTCGTTCCACTTCCCTTGGGACATGTACGTCATTGATAGATTCGCCATCTCTTCAAGAGTTATTAGATGGGAATCTCCATGTATGCTTGATGCGAGGTCAAGCGACTCCTTTCCTAGCTCTTCGCTCTCCTTCCAAAGCCCTTGACTCCGATACAAGGAGGCTAAGAGACCTATTGAATATGCTGTGAGACTCTCTTCTTTTCCAAATACTTTTACCCAGTAATCACAGACAGTTTTCTGCATTTCAATCGCCTTTTTCCACTCCCCAGCATGGCTATATATCCTTGACAGCGCTTGTTGAAGCTGGGCTAATATTGGAGCTTCTTTCACAACGGAAGCCAAGTCCCGAAGCTCATTTTCGAGCCTCTTCACTGTGCGTTGAGATTCCTCTGGAGTTTGCAGCTGCTCCAAGTAGTGCAGATGGTTCGTCGAGCCTCCTTCTCTTATTTCTACCCATCGTGAATTTGATGTCTCGCGAGAATTTGTTGTCCTGAGAGTCGAAATAAGTTTGTTCAGTTCGCCGCTTTCATCCGGGCTTTCCAAAAGCTCGTTGGCCTCAACCTCGTTTCTAGGTATCCCAAAACCTAGCGTGTAACAAAGGGCGAGTTGGAGGGAATTGTGTCTACTCGATGTGTCGCGAGTCGACCTCGAGAGGACTCTCTTCTGAAAACACTTGGCAATAGCGGTTCTTACTCTGTAATCGATCGAGTACAATGCTAGGCTTGAGGCAGTAATCTATCGTAATTAGCATACATGATTAATTTTGATTTTTCTTACTCACGTCGAAGGTCGCCGTAAGCGTATCAAACCGGTCATCGTCAATTTTCATAACACTCCTATTCACCCTACAAAGACTGAGCACGGAATACCCTGGCGAATCTTCATATAAACTCACCGATGAAAATTGACTGTTTCTATGAACAATGCAATCCCAGCGCGCCGATGATGTGTGTCCACGGCGAGAGCATCACCGAAAAAAGTGTGCAAGTTCACGAATGTCGCATGATCAAAGCTCCCACTGTTGGCCTGAAGTAAGTCCCAGGCCACCTGTATTAGCCGCTCTTGCTTCTTCAAATCGTCGATGATTCGACCTAGCGGTCTTGGCCTTTCATTTTGAAGAAAAACCTTTTTCGCCCAACCGAGCTCTTCCGGGAGTGCAGAAATCCCTGCGAAATAAGCCTCGAATATGAACCACACACATACTAGACCAAATGAAAATATGTCCATAAGCGCGGCTTCATCGGGAAGATATTTGCGTGACAGATTCTCGGCAGGCTTATATTCGGGTGCTGTCCATGGTTGTGATTCTGGAATGAAAATGCGCTCTGTTTGGCTTGCATAGTGAGAGGAATAACCGAAGTCCATGACTTTGGCCGTATATTCGCCCGTGGCCTCCTGGAATATTATCACGTTCTCAGGTTTCATATCTCCATGGATGATATCTGAGGTCTCTATCAGCTTCATTTGTGACAACGGCGCTCTTATTCTTACGGTTCCAATGCATGTCAGCAATCGCAACTCCGATATCAACGCAGATACCAACACGTTCCATCAGGTTCATATTTTTTGCAACGGGCAGGGAAGCAAAGTTTTTGAGATCTCCGAAAGGTGATTTCTCAAAGACGAAGGCAGGCCAGACCTCTTCGTCGGAAGAGATGTCCCAGCTAATGCCTACTAAATCAAGGATGTTTCGGTGAGCTAGAACAGCGGCATTACCCAGCACGGACAGCTCATTGATGAGCAAGCGATAGGCCCTTTCATGATCCTCCTTGTCATCACCTTTGAGTTTCTTGAACGCGATGCTCCTTTCTCGGCTGAGGAGTCCTTCCTTGATCGATGAGGTGCCTCCGATAGCAACATTGTCCAAGGCAGTCTGCCATGTAATAGTGAGGAAGCTGACCTGCAGCTTCTGCGCAACTGCAAGGAGCGAGATCAGATCCAAGTCGTTCTCCTTGAAGATTTGGCCGCCGGCATCCGACGTGGTGTCATAGTCTCGTCGGATGTCGAACGTGTACGTGCTACTAACCATTTCGCTCCTCGTCCGCACACGCAAGATAGAGAGAGCCGAGGTATCTCATAAATACGACACAAAGAGGATTGAAGGAAAAGCAAGTATATTAGAGTCATCTGATGCGAAGGCGGAGTTTAGGTCGCGAGAAGCGCCTTCGCAAGGCTGAACTAGGCTAATCCGATTTCGGCAACGCCGACCGGTCAACGTTCAAGCCCCGTTATCTCAGCTAGCTCAGACGGGGTAAGGAGAGAACCGAGGACTCACAAACCACCATGCATATTGCTACTCCAAATAGAGTATGGCCTGGGGGTTAGCAGTTTCTGACCCCTGTTAGTAGCGTTTCTCTCCTCAGCCATCTAAGGGACTTTTGTGATTTTTTCTATAAATAGGCCTATTTTAAGAGCATTATAATAAAATTAGATTTACAATATCTCTACTACTATATGTTAAATAGGCTTAGAATTTAATAAAATGTAAAGATAAGCTGTAGCTATAAAATAGTATTTTTTTTCTAAATTTTAACTATTATTAGTAAAGAAAAATCTAAACGCGCGTAGAACTTTAACCTATTTATTGTAACAGCACAGGCAAGACAATGGGTCTAAATGCGGTAGGAATCCACTTAGAGGCATATAGGAGTGCGTGGGGACTTAGAACCTAGGAATGCTATTAACACCTATAGGCCTTATACAAAAGGATATTAGAAAACTACTAAGCTAGCTACAGGGGCAAGGTGCAACTAAATACATAAAGGAATAGGGGTATAGTAAAGGGCAGGGCAGAGTTAGGGCTAGGTTAAGTTAGGGTTAAAGCTAATATAAAGTTCTTTTAGATAGGTTCTAAGCAACCTAAGATAGACATAATTTATAAAAATTAAGTTAAAGTTAAAGCTAATATAAAGACTTTTTAGATAAGTTCTAGGCAACTTAAAATAAAATAATTTATAAAAATTATTACACTACTCCCCTCTTTATAGACTAATAGTCTCTATTAATAGTAATTATAGTATTAAGTTTTACTATTATGTTCTTTACATTTTTAAACTGAAACTAGTCTAATTTAGCTAGGTGTCCTTACTCTAAGTATTCCTTTACACTGCTAGCAGTGTCCTTTAAACCTAAACACTACACATGTAGTTGTTAATTATTAAAGTAGTAAGTATAGTTTATTAATTAAAAATAATTTAAATAAAATAATAAAGTTTTTTTTATAAGTTTTTTTTATAAGTTTTTTTTATAAGTTTTTTTTTTAGATTATACACTATAAAGTAAGTTACTATAGCTTTAAAAAAGTTTACCTAGGTATGTTTAAAACTATAGTTTAGTACTTATAAGCTAAAAAAAAGCTTCTTTTATAAGTAGAAAGACTAATCTAACTAAGATACCTTTTTTTTAATAGCTGCACTAATAAAGTGTGCTTTAAATGTAGAAAACGCCTTTTTATTATTTATTTTAAAAGTCTAGAATGCTTATTATGCCTTAGTCTTTTTCTAACTAGTAATAAAATAAGCTTATAAAAGCTTTATTATATTCTCTACACTTTTAAACTAAAACTAGTCTAATTTAGCTAGGTATCCTAGCTCTAGGTAATCCTTTGCAATACTAGCTGTATGTCTCTATATTAATGCTATGTGTGCGCGCTTACTTTAATAGTAATCTAAATTAATATTAAGTTTATTTATAATAAAAGCTTACTATTATTTAAATATAAGTTTTTTACTATCTATAAAGATCTTAATTTTAGGTGTGCATTTAGTAAAGTAGATTTACGAAGTTTAAAAAGTGCTTAAAAAGTCTCTTAAACTTAAAGTAGTAAGAGTAGTATAAGGTATTATTAAAAGTAATTTAGTAGTTAGTAAAAGTTAACTAGTAGTTTTTAGCTAGATTAGCTGCTTAAGCTATACTTATAATTAAGTAATTTAAATATTAATAAATATACTACTAAAAGTTAACTCTAAATTAAGTAAAAGTATAGCTTTAAGTGCTATAAAAGTAAGTTTAGCTGTTAACATAAATTATTAATTAACTTTAAAAAGCTTACTTTAGCTAAAGTGTATTTTAATTTTAAAATTAAAAGGTAGTTAGCTAAACATTAGTAGTTGCTTTTAATTTTAATAAGTTATTAGTAGTCTTTAAGTTTTTACTTTAGCGCCTTTTTATAACTTTTCTAAAAGTAATCTTAATTATAAAAGATAAAAAGTTTTAAACCTAAAAGCTTTAGTTAACTAAAGGTTAATAAGATTTAGTTTATAAACTAAATAGTTTAATATAATAACATACTTCACAGGCAAGTTGCTTACACACCTAAGTTACTTACTTTTACTAAGACCCTACTAAACTACTTTTTCTACACTAATGCATTCCCTACAACACTACTTAGACGTGCTAAAAAAAATGTTAGATATAGCTTATACTCTAAGCTTTTAAATAAGATATAAAACTTTTAAAGAAATATACTATAGCTATATATAAAGTCTTATAAAAGATAATAAATAACTATAGCGCTAAATAACTTTTACAAGCTAATTCTATAGCTAAATTGTAAAGGCTAGGTAATAAAAAAAATAAGTAATTATTAAAACTATACTTAAGCTATATGCGTAAGAAATTTCCTCTTAGATAGCATTTATAGCTAATATAGCTAATTCTTTACACGCTAAGTATAATCTAAGCTATGTTTACATAAACTAGCCTAGTATGTTTATAAAGCATTATTTAAAGCTTAAAGTAAAGTTTTAAGTGTAAGTATAGTTAAAAAATATTTAGCTAATTATAAACCTTATTTTACTAAAGTTGTACATATTATTATTTTAGATGCTATACTTAGCTTTAATATTCTCTATAAGGCTAAACTTACTTTAAATTACTTTAGAACTTTTATAAAAAGCTTTTTTATAGTTATACTTATACTTAAATATTACTTTAAGCTTTAAATAACACTTTATAAATGTACTAGGCTAGTTTATGTAAACATAGCCTAGATTATGCTTAGCGCATAAAGAATTAGCTATATTAGCTATAAATGCTATCTAAGAGGAAATTCCTTGCGCATATAGCTTAAGTATAGTCTTAATAATTACCTACTTTTTTTTATTACCTAGCCTTTATAATTTAGCTGTAGAATTAGCTTATAAAAGTTATTTAGCGCTGTAGTTATTTATTATCTTTTATAAAACTTTGCACATAGCTATAGCACATTTCTTTAAAAGTTTTATATTTTATTTAAAAGCTTAAAGTGTAAGCTGTATCTAACATTCTTTTAGCACGTCTAAGTAGTGTTGTGGGGAATGCATTAGTGTAGAAAGGGTAGTTTAGTAGGGTCTTAGCAAAAGTAAGCAACTTAGGTGTGTAAGCAACTCGCCTGTGAAGTACGTTAGTGTGTAAGTATTATAACCTAAACTAAATTAAATGTGTCTTAAAGCTTAGACATAATTAAATAAATAATTAGTATAATATTATAATAAAGCTGTTACTAGTAAAAGTAAGTTTTTTTAATATAATATAACAGCATAGGCAAGACAATAGGTCTAAATGCAGTAGAAATCTACTTAAAGGTGTAACAATTCTCATGAATTGTTCTATCTTAGGTCGCCCAGAACCTATCTGAAGGGTCTCCGTATCGGCTCCAACCCTAGCTCGACCCTAACTCAACTCTGCCCGGCCCCCTGCTGTTACCCCTATTCCCTTATGTATTTAGTCGCACCTCGCCCCTGTAGCTAGCTTAGTAGTTTTCTAATATCCTTTTGTACAAGGCCTATAGGTGTTAATGGCATTCCCAGGTTTAGAGTCCCCACGCACTCCCATATGCCTCTGAGTGGATTCCCTCCGCATTCGGACCCATTGTCTTGCCTGCGCCGTTACAAAAGGCATATAGAAGTGTGTAGGGACTTAGAACTAGAAATGCTATTAACACCTATAGGCCTTATATAAAAGAATATTAGAAAACTACTAAGCTAGCTATAAAGGTAAGGTGTAACTAAATACATAAAGGAATAAGAGTACAGTAGGGGGCAGAGCAGAGTTAGAGCTAGGTTAAGTTAGGGTTAGAGCTAATACAAGGTCCCTTTAGATAGGTTCTAGGCAACCTAAGATAAACATAATTTATAAGAATTAAGTTAGAGTTAGAGCTAATACAGGGACCCTTTAGATAGGTTCTAGGCGACCTGAGATGGAACAATTTATGAGAATTGTTTCATTTATACTCTAATTTTAAATTAATAGTATTGCCCTTCTAACTAGAACTTAACAACTAGTAGACTAAATTCTCTAGAATTTTATAGAATCCCTAACAGAGCTAGTCTAGGACAGCTTCTAGATCTTTAGAGTTCTTAGACAACAGCTAGTTAAGCTATAAACATAAGAGTAATTATAATGTCTCTAGCCTACTATCCAGCTTAATAACTAGCAGCCTAGATCTCCTAAAATTTTGCAGGCTTCCTAATAGAGCTAGTCTAAGACAGCTTTTAGATCTTTAGAGTCTTTAGACAACAGCTAGTTAAGCTATAAACATAAAAGTAATTATAATGTCTCTAGCCTACTATCTAGCTTCATAACTAGCGTCCTAGATCTTCTAAAATTTTATAGGCTTTTTAATAAAGCCTGTCTTAGATAAGTCTTAAATTCTAAAAATAATATATTATATAGTTAAGAAGTTAGATTAAGGTGTAGTTATAAAGTTATTAAAATGTTCTATATAGAACTTAGTAGCGTAATACTCTGCTAAATCTTATTAAAATTAGGTTATAAAAATGTTAGAATATAGCTAGAGACTATTTCTATTACTTATTAAAATCTAACCTAGTTTAGATAAAAAGTAGTAGAGCTATAATAATTCTTAGTTAAGCTGGTGTATAGTAGAGGAGGTTTAGAACTATAATATTACCTAAAAAATTACAAAAGTCTTTTAGATAGCTAGGGAGAGAAAGCCTTTCTTACACCCTTATTAGCTAGAGAGATAGGGCTTGCGCCACTAAGGCTACTAGCAGGGGCTTGCCCCTGTCGAGGCCCTCTCCCCATCCCGTCTGAGCTTGCTGAGATAAAAGCCCCGCGCATAGTTCGCCACATTCGCCATGCCACGTCGTGTACCACATAGTGCATATGTAGGCTGTCATACGTGGCATGTCGTTCGTCCCCTGTCTGTTCTTCGATCGAGAATCATTTTCATCCCCCATGTCAGCGCCGTCAGGCCCAAGGATGCAACGCAGTAAATCCAGAATTGAGACGCTAAGGTAAAGTTTGTTTGCTCATTCGACTGTGAGGATTCTTGGACTTTTTGAACCAGGGATGACCCGAAGATGGTCTGGGATCACGGTTAGGCAGGTTTCAGGTCGGGGGAGAGGGGTGAATAGCTCTTGTGTTGAGGCTTACAGCGATCAGAGTTGCTGGAAGATACGTTGTGGCAATCATCGTAAGGACCTTCATGGCCCTCGAATCTTCCCGTAGTTGTAAGGATACACTGACCATCCCTTCATTTTCTTTCTGGCTATATGTGGCAATGCTCCTGAGACATTCCAGATGGTCCTGCATAACTCGTTCGTTGCTGTGCAGCAGCTCATTGCCACGGAATTCCATAATGCGAGCTAGCTGAGGGCGCGGTCATCACCAGTTAGTCTTGATTTTGAGAAGGAAATCCTGAAGCTTCAACTAGAAGTGCGCTTACAAGCTTGTCGATTCCAGCTGATCGACTTATCATTCCTGAGACACTCCGCCGATGTAGCATTAGCTGGGACATGATCTCCTCTACTCGACGCAGCTCATGAGGGTTCCTCTTTAGACCCAGACAGGAAAACACTCGATATCTCCTCAGCACCTCCACGTGAGAATCTAGTATTCTCCGTGTCCGCTGGGATTTCTTCTCCAATAGTTGTAGCTCCTGGCAGTCGGCAAACGATACCTCATAATCCCAATTTCGTTTCCCTCCCACTTTGGAGAAACAGGCCCTCTCGTCCTGTGATCATTAGTAATTCGTTGCGGAACCATATGGAAAACAGTAATACCAGCCCATTGAGCTTTTCCTGGAGAAATTGTAAATAAGCATGCCAATGCAATCCGAGAATCGAGAAGACATGTTCGTGGAGGAACATACATCCCGAGTCTTTCAACACCTGTTGAAGAGAATCGTTTTGACACATTGAGTCAAAATTTGAACGGAAGTTGGTTGATGGTTGTATAAAGACCCACACGGACGTCCGATCTGTCTTACAAAAAGCGTGATACACCCCCATTTGCCGAAGCGACCAGGGACTTCCTTGAGATCGTCCATTGGGTTCTGCATATCGCACATTGTAGCATATTTCTGCAAACAGTTCTTTAGTAATGGAAGCTTCTTCTTCATTCAACTTACCAATTCTCGTCAAATTGTTGCTGCAAGAGTCGTGTACGTGTTCCTTCATATGACTTCCGTCCCAACTGCGGCTGTCTTCATCGGACTTGATGCCAAAGCTCTGAACGACGTCGGCGAATTCGGGAAAGATGTTATGGTATTCTGAGATCCCTTCGAACTCTTCGAGGCTGATGCGGATTGGACTCCATGAAAACTCTTGGGTCAAGAAACTGTCAATCATGATCATTGTAAGTTGATAGGGCATTCGTCAACGTTGAGTGATGCGCACTAGAAGGTTGCGGTAGACGATTTGCTCTTTTCCTATTTAGCATAATTTAGCTTGTGAAACCCCTGCACGCGTAAGGAAAGGGAATCTAGCTTACGAGAATCGCGTTGAGCTCATTTAAACCACCTTTAAACGTTGTAGATGTTAAATCTAGATACAGTTTTATGAATAATTTGAGAGCCTCTTCTTTTCGAGGGATTGAACATTACCTCTTTTTTGACTGCCAATATGGAAGACTTGAACGTGAGTGGATGATTCAGCAAAGCATGAAGTTGCAAGTGCGCGGAGTCTGGATCGGTACAGCTGCGCATTGTCGAAGCGTTTGAACTTCTCGGAAAGACTCATGAACGTTCTTACAGCTGGATAGTTCACCTGAAGGGGTACAAGTCGGTGCAACGACGAAGAAAGCGTCAAGATTTGCGGACTGGAGAACCGTTGCGCATGTACACTTTGAAAATCGTAAATTCCGGTCTGCGATGCTGACAGTAATTTCAGCCTTGCGCAAGGCGCGAAAATTGCCCTGGTGGCCATACTTAAAGTTGGCTTTTTGAATTAGTGTCGCATCTCCCCATACACTCGGTGTGACTTGATAGTGTCGCTTAACGTGAACCCAATCATCAACGGCAGATAAAGAAGCCGGTGTAACAGCAGGTTTCTATCGCCAATGATTGCCCTAGTCAACCAATAAGTGCTTCTCACGTGTCATGCAGCTAATATTTTCAAAGTTGCCACGACTTCAGCCTACGCTTTTCTCTGACCGGTTTTTTCTCCCCGAAAGAACTAGCACCTCTCTAGGAACACATCTCCGCGCATCTCATGGAAACCCAAACCATTCGAGAAAGCTACATCGATAAGGGTGAGCTCGAAAATTTACTGGCCAGGCTGTTCGGGTCGAGCTGGGACGTCGAGGTACGTTAGGCTGCACCGCGCAATGAACACCGTCTAGTCTGGGCTTACAGCAGAGCAGTATGGCGAGGAGTATATAATCCTCACGGTTCCAAAGGGAAAGAAGCTTTCGCTGGTAGGAAGCTCAGGAGATTTCCATTTCATCCAGCGCGTAATTGGTTGACGCATCCCTTAGCATCAGATTGCCTCGGTCAGGAGGCCACCGGCTTAACTCGGCTCCACGAAGCCGCCTAACCAAGAGCGATCAACCTTCTGTGGCGGGTCATGGCGTCGAACGATTCGCTCAAGTTGCTTCTCAAATCCATTCGTCGTGAGAACTCCGACTTGAGATGGTTCGTACCGCACAATGCGCTCGTCAAGGTGATGGTGAGAGAGAATCTACGGTCAACACTGAAGGACCAGATAAAACCATATCACATTGAAGAGACGTTAAAATCTATCATCAGAACAGGAACCAAAATATTTGCGATACTTGTTTTGATTGATCACGTGCCAAAAGTTCAGTGTTTCATCGAGAAAGACCAACTACGCGATCAGCGACTTCCGTTCACCGTCGACGAACTAAAAACCATCGTAGATGACATCTGCGCTATTGATTTCTTTGAGAAGCAAAGTGAATTTTTAGTCCCGGAGTTCTTTCAGGGTATGCTCACACGGCGTTTAAACGAACGCACGGTAATGCCTTTCACGAAAGACTCCCGAATCGGGGCCGGAAGCTTCGGAAAAGTCTATGAAATCTGCTTCCATCCGGATCATCAGCTATTAGAACCCTGTTTCCAACAGAGAGTAAGTGTACCATGCACACTCCTCAATTCTCACGCCAGTTACTCATTTCGTAGCTCGTTAGGAAGGAGATCGAGGACGAAAATATGCACGAAGTAGAGCTTGAAAACCTATCCATTTTGAGCCTTTTAAAGCATCCAAACATTCTCGACCTCTTGGCGTCTTACAAACATAAAGGTAAATGCAACTTGATATTCCCTTATGCATCCGGAGGCAATTTAGCAGACACTCTGTCCGGCCAAGTCGAGCAGCCGCAGCTCCAACATCAGGAAAATATGTGGATAGCTATTGCCGGATTGGCATCCGGCATTGAAGCTTTTCACGACTTCGTGGAAGAGAAAGTCGATCTTCGGCTGACAGGATTCCACCACGATTTGCGACCGAGAAATATCCTCATCTCTGGCGACAAACTCATTTTGGCAGATTTCGGTCTGTCAAGATTCAAAAATGCGCAGGAGAACTCGGACACGAATTTTAAAATCGGAAGTGGAGATTACATTGCCCCAGAATGTGAAGATATCGAGGGTAACTTTGAGAAATTCCGGATCCACAGGTCCAGTGACATTTGGTCCCTGGGCTGCATCCTCATTGAAACTGGTGTCTATCTTTCTTTTGGGGTTTCCGAATTATCAGAGTTCCGGAAAGAGCGAAAGTTCAAAGTCCCCAGTCTCTCTGGGCGCTATCGCACGTTTTCATTATTTCATTATGGACTAGATAAAGAGAATCCTACGGTATGTAAATGGCTATGCAAATTGGACGCGCTTGGACAACATACCTTCCACAAATTCGTCGAACTATGTCGGAAGACGCTCAATCTTGATCACAATCGAAGACCAAAAGCCAGAGAAGTTGCATCAAAGCTCCAAGAAATTGCTACCCTGGCGTTGTATCAGCAAATCGACGAATTATTCATCTCCGCTTATCTCCCGAAGGAAGATTCTCCAACGGATTGTCTGTTTGAACATATTCGGTTCAGGGGCTGGTTCTGGACCTTGTATGGAGATCTTGTAGACTGTCTTCCACACTTCTCCATTACCGACTTTGAGAACGTCATCGACATCCTACGTCATATGCGCAATCAACTCAATGGCATATTATCAATCCCCAGAGACTTGCCTTCTCCGTGGAGAGCGATAGGCCACCTCAATGACCAGCTATACCAGTTTCTTTCCCCTCAGCAGCAGCAAATTTGCCGAGCGTGGCTGACGGCAACATTGACAAGAGAACCAAGTGTCTCTCTAGACAGCGCCCCGTATGTGCGACAGAAGGATATTAGAATCCGAGTTTCCTTGGGGCAAATGAACCATCTCGCCAACGAGCATCTCGAGAGGGACAAAAATCACCGGCAACTGAATCCTTCCGACATCGAAATTGGGTCCAGATTTGGAGACCATAATTTTGGCACGATAGACAAACCGGCCGACAAACCACCTGTCTTAATCGAGTGGCGTACCTACAATCTCGCGTACGTGGACGAGCGCGTTAATCAAGAGATGTTTTCTCGCGTCGAGTTGATCACGGACCTACTAGGCACAGAAAAGCCTGGGGAATTCCGTTCGCTCAACTGCAAGGGGTTCTTCCACGATGTTGGACGCCGCGCGTTTGGAATGGTCTTCGATCTTCCGTCTCCCTATCCCCTGCAAATAGAACCCATCTCACTCGGCACTCTCATAACGCGCACGCAGAGAATCTCCTCTCAGCCCGTGCTCGATGGCAAGTTCAGACTCGCGTACATTTTAGCGCGAGCCATCCTCGAATTCCACTCAGTCGCTTGGCTCCACAAACGACTCAACTCTTCAAACATCGCCTTCTTCCCCAACGCCGGGGAAAGCGTCGACGATTATGTATGCAGGCCATTCATCATCGGATTCAACCACAGCCGACCAAATGACCCAAAGGCGTTCACCCACGGCTTTAGCGGCGCGGACGAAAAATTCTACCAACATCCAGTCTACCTTTCCGGCGACAGTAAGTATATCGCTGAATACGACTATTATAGCCTGGGTCTCGTCCTCCTGGAAATTGGGCTGTGGGGAACGCTCGAGGATTTCGGGAGAAAATATCTTGACGCATCAGCTGAGGCGATGCGCAAGGCGCTAATTTCATCGAGGGTACCATTGTTGGGGAAGACGATGGGTTTGATGTTTCAACATATCGTTCAGACTTGTCTCGAAAGCAGATTTTGCGATTCCGTAGAGGAGCAAAATGAGGATATTTCTGTGCCGGTGATTTTGGCTTTCAATAACGCTGTCGTAAGCCAGTTGAGGAAAGCATGCCTGGCCCTCGATTCATCCGGAACAATCGACATAGATGTCGCTCAGTAGAAACAAAAGGTCCTTTTTCGTAGAAAGTAGATGAATGAAACTCGCTAAATCCGTAAATGATTTATGGTATAGCGTGTGGAAAACATCCTTGCGCGCTTCCCACAATCCTTGGGATACCTCCCGATGAGTTGACAAGACGTGAAGATAGGAGATATGCATGGGTCCAAGATTCGAACTAGAGGAAACACAAAGCCTAGATACTTAGATATTCCATATGCTTGGATAGCTCTTTGCAACGCTGTCTTTGCAAGGGCAAGCAAGAGGCCTTGGCCACGGTTGGCGCGTTCGAACCAACAACAAAGCCTCGCTCACCGATGGATGTCGGCTCTGCTGCATCGCTAGCACTATCTTTATACAGCTACAAGAACAAAGGCATTATCACGCTCAATATGCCTGCTTATTCATTGCACTTACTGCAGCCACTAGACGTATGCTGATTCTCGCCATTGAAGCAGGCCTTTAGCCGCCAGATAGAGCTTCTAGTTCGCAGCAGCATTAGCCACGTCAACAAGTTTGAGTTCCTGTCAGCCTTCCAAGTAGCCTACAACGCCTCTATTACAGAGCCTAACATCAAGGCAAGCTTTCAAGCCTCAAGTCTAGTACCATTTAATCCCAAGGCTATACTGTCGAAGCTCGACTTCAAGCTTCGTACGCCATCACCGCTACAAACTACAGCTAGCGAATGGGAGTTAAAAATACCTAGTACAGCAGCTGAACTAGAGGCTCAGAAGACTCTAATTTAGAATCGGATGCAGAGTCCTCACGATAGCTCCCCTAGCTCTATTATTAAGTTAATCAATCGACCAGCTAGGGCGCTGAGCTGATGATCCACACAAGTGAGCGACTGCAATCAGCGCAAGAAGAAGTACCTACAGAGGCAAGGAGCTCTAACTAAGACTCAAGGCTTAGAGCTAGCTGCTCAAATTAATATTAATGTGCAGCTTGAGGGGGAAGAGCTAGATGGTAGGAAGCTTGCTCAAGCTAATGTATTGTACAAGCGATGCTGCAGAACCTGCGGTAAGCCTAACCACAGAAAATTAGCTCATCTAGCCACTATTAAACTATTACTAGGCTAGATGCAATCGATCTGTGATTTTAATGCAATTCAAAAGTCTTGGCAAAAGTGACAAGTTCGCCCGTGGAATACATTGAACATTCTACTTCTCGTTAAATTATCTTTTTAAAGCAGGAGACATCATGAGATCCTAGCCACCACGCCAGCCACCGACCCCGCACTGCATATCGCATTCGAAGCATCAATATGAGGGGTCAGGTAAACTATTTTGTAAATATATGAGGCCATTAAGCTATACGCTTCTAATAGGAAACAATCACCACAATGAGCCTCGATTCGTGCCGGAGTTCGAGAGGAGATACCCCCTGACGTTCCTCGCTAACCACCCTCTTTCTCGTCTCTATTACTTCCACCTCCAGCTCTTTAGCCTCCTTCCACCGGCCTTGATTCCGGTACGTCGACGCCAGGTTGGCCATGCTGGTTAGCGTGGAAATGCTCCTTCCCAAGCTCACTCTTTCTCGTCTCCACCATTTACACAGTAAAACCTAGAATGCGCCGAACCAATAAACCAAAGACGGCATCCAACCGATAGGCAATCCCCAAGCAATAGTTTCGCACTTTGGATGTGCTGGAAATTATGACACCATTTTCTTCATTACGAAAGTTATCGGGTGTGGGTGTACGACAGGATGGCACGCACATCGGAAGTGTTTCCCGGAATGTCTCCACATCCGCTCTACATTCTCCACGACAATTTCTTTTTATCGAAAGTCCGTAAGGGCTTCACCCGCACTCTATGTTTACGAAAGGCTAACAGTATATAATAGAAATCCCATTCCAGCCGCGATATGATGAGGATAAATGCATATGCAACCTTGAGAAGAAAGAAGACCACATCCTGTTCAGATATCCATAGTACTGTCTCTGAACATGAAATCTCTGTTTTTTGTGGCTTCACCCGCGCTTGTCAACGTCCAGGGGGTCATAGCACGTAAGCACGGCTACCCGTTTTGAAATGTTTCCGAAGTGCTGAGATGTTTTTTCAGGTGCCGCTTTACCCTCCGAGACCAGGTCTTATGTCCCGCCATCCAACACAACATCCACGGCAAGGATAAGTTCAGCAAGCCCAAGTCCCACACCATTCTGGCCGACCGCAGTACTTCCCAAATTTCACCCGCAGTTTAGAGATATTCCGGATAGCGCCCTTTCATGCTGGAAATCATGGGGCGACTACCAGCTGCGGACTCAAGTTCCCAACCCCGGAATCATTGCCAATGCAACTACATCAGTGTGGTGGAGCCCTCTACCCACTCCGATAACCGTCATCGAAGACAACAGCTACTGTTCGGCGGACGTAAAGAAAATTCCAATCAGCCTCACAACCCTCTGTGATGGGGTCCCAAGAGCCTCCTACATCGAGGAGTCATCCTCCTGGACCTTGAATACTTGGATTGTAAACTACACACAAACGGATTCACTCACGATGACCGTAATCCCTGGAACAACACGTCCTGGCTACGAAAATGAACAACCAAAGTGCACGATAGCTCCAAACTCCGTGCCACTATGTGATGAAGTTAATTCAGCATATACATGGTGGTTGTCATCGCGAGGATCACAAACCCCACCACTAAACGAAGCATCAACAACCACTACACCAACGAAATCTCTCATCGAGACATTGGTGCCACCATCCTGTATACAATTCATACCAGCTCCACCCCAGGCGAAACCAACCTGTGCGATGGAAATCGATAATCAGGAAGTTTGGTACTGGCCAGCTCCGGGACCAACCGGATCCGACTTCTGCAATTCCAGCTGGGCTCCCCCAACCGCAACACCCACTATTCCCGGGAAACCAAACACCGCCGTAGTGTCAGGTATGACCTTCACAAGCCCAAGCGTCTACCATTTGATCAAGAGCGTCACCGTGTATACACTGGCTGGAACCAACCGGAAGGCCGACAGTGGATATATCCGCCACACCAGTGTCTGGAAGCCATCTACAACAATCGGCCCAGAAAAGACGTTTCTCACAGACAAGCAATTGGAAACGGACATTGTAAGCGTCACGTATATCGGGCCGAAACATCCGCATGGTGCAGCTGTGTATTCATACAACAAAGACTTCCGCCTCAACGACATCTTCACCATGCGCTCAGGGCCCTACTTTGGGAACCCTGAACACCAAGGAATTTCGACCATCTTCCAAAATGAGGTTCAGCATTCGTTCGGACTCGGGGTTCCCGAATTAGTGTCTCAGAATAAAATATTCAAGGAATGCGAGTGGACCAGAACATATACCCGGGATGTCTATCCCAGTGAGTATCCGGTGGCGGTCGATAATTCGGTCCTGAGGAGTAATTTTCATCCAATTACGACAGGGACGGGTGGGATGTCTACGCCAACGGTGCCGCCAGTTCCGACTTCTACGCCTAGCGTTACTACGCCTTTGCCTCCGCTGTGTAAACTATGAGCGAATCAATTAGAGGAAGCTTTCATTTCTTTGACTGATGAGCGTAGGGGTACGGATATGTTTTTCATCAAATCTTACACCGTCAAATGAACCTTTTCACGTGAAAACCCTCTGACATGAAGATGCCGCATCACCTATGGTACTTCTGCTAGCAATTATCTTCATCATTTGATATTACTACTTTGTTCCTCGTGACCCATCGTCTAGTACCATCCTTTCTTCATCCCTCTACTACTACTAGGCTAATTCGACCCAGAGGTTTGTCATACATACTTTCCTAAAAGCAAAACAAGCTCCCGTGTGTATTTCGTTTATCAGCCTGCCGGAACCCCTGGTTCCTTCAAATTCGAGTGACTTGGTCAAACTTCCCGAATCGGCCCGTGCACACGTCGCGGTCGCGTTTGCTCTATGCTTCCTATTTCGTCGCGACTTTACTTTTTTCCCCGGTCGCCTTACTACTCGACTACAACAGTCCTAATCTAACTTGTGTTGCCACAGTGTCTTCTTTTGCTGCCTCTCTTAGTGGTAGAACTTGACTCTAGACGCTAGACTACTGCCCTTGCTACTTGCTGGTTGCTACTTGCCCAGACCGCGCTACAGCCATGTCGAATCCGCTAGAGAAATACGATCTCTACACTAACGAAGAGTATCGAGCTCTAATCGGTCGTAAATGCCGAGGAGCTAGAAGTGCAAGTGATGGAGCCGTTCAAGAGTGTGCTTTAGAAGAAGCACCTAGACACGCCGGCTAGCATAGCTAACCTAGCACACATACTTAGAAGTCCTAAAGTCAGAATAAAGAAGCTATCGTACTAATAGAAAAGTGCTTCAAGCTACAGAAGCAGATTCTTACCTGTAATGCTTTTCTTTATATTACTATACAAGTTACCTAGTACCTGTTTGCCTACGCAGTGCTAGGTAAGATATTATAATATAAAGTTTAATAGATAACTATTATATTTCTATTTTAGTTAAAGTTGTTTTCGCTCTTTTTTAGAAAATACTAAGCTTAGAATGTAAAGCAAATTTTTAGTATAAATAGCTTTCTTTATTACTTAAAAAAAAACTAAGCTTAGTAACAAAAAATGCTATACTATAGTTAACTAACTATTATTTTAGAGAATATTAGATAGAGAAGCAAAACAGCGCGTTATATTAAAATGAAATATTAAAATACTACAACAGTTTATAAATAATCTGTAAAAGCAAAGCTTGCTTAGAGTAATAGTTCGCGCATTAAGGTAGGTTGTTGTAACGGCACAGGCAAGACAATAGGTCCGAATGCGGTAGGAATCCACTCAGAGGCATATGGGAGTGTGTAGGGACTCAATGACCTGGGAATTCCATTGACACCTATAGGCCTCGTACGAAAGGATATCAGAAAACTACCGAGCTAGCTACAGGGGAAGTACGACTAAATACATGGGGGAATAGGGGTAACAGCAGGGGGTAGGGCCAGGTCGGGGTCGGAGCCGATACGAGGACCTTCCGGATAGGTTCCGGGTGTCAGATTGAAGCACTGTTTCTGGGCTTCCTGAGATGAATGATGGGTTTGGATATGATGTATGGGATGATGATTGATTGTCTTGATTTATCGATCCTTTTTCTGCTCTACTCGTGTTGCTCGGCTTTTTGTTTTGCCGATCTATTGTGTGCGTTAATCCGTGCAATGTCTTGGCAACACCTTAAACTTTGCTTTCCGCCACTAAATTTGTATAAGAACTTAAAATTTTGCCTATAAAACCCTACAACTACCTAACATCTCTTAATTTTAGTAAACATTTAGGCGCTGTACGTACTTCCTATTTAGGAAATAATAAGGCTAGGTTTTAATGTTTAAAATAGCTTTCTAGCTATGTTTTAAGCTTACAGAGTCTCTTGTTGCCCACTACCTACTTAGCAACCCCTAGCGCTTACTGTGAGCGCCTGTGGCCTATCTAATTGTACGCGTATTAATATATGTTGTTTTTTACTGCTTAGATAGAGGCTGTAGGCAATTGCTAATTAAAAGGGGTGCAGCAACTGCGTAGTATACAATGTAATAGATAATCTAAAGACGCACAGCAGCATAAGAGCACCTATCTAAGGCAGGCTTAGTTATTTACTAGCAATTAGTAAGAAAAACATAAATGCTCTTTTTAGTAAGCTTATTTACTTTAAGTAGATGTACTAAGACAAGATTACACTTTAGTTATAAGTAAAAAAAAGCATTTAAATTAATTACTTAAACATATTCTAGTTCCTTTTTTAATATAAATAAAGTTACTAAACACTTTAAGTGTTCTTTATTAATTAAAATAAAAAACTTTATAACTTATATTATAACTTAATAAGATACTTTATAGTAGAGGATCTAGTGTTTTTTAACAAGTTAATTTTTAATAAGAAGACTAGCTAGCAGCACTACACATACAGCCTAGTTAGCTACGTCTCTTAGTATACCTAGGATATTGCTTAAAGCAGTACTTAGTTAATTTTTTTTATGTATATAATTAACAGCTATCTCTCTTATATAGCTGTAAAAAAAGGCTACTTTAATTAAAAGCAGTTTCTTAAGTAGATTAAAAAGAGTCTAATCCCTATGCTTTAGGTTATGTATAGTAAGAAGTACTTAGTAATTATTCTAAATAATGTCTTAATTTATATAAATAATAAGGTAACACAGATTATTAAGGCTAGTAAGTATTTAGTAAGGTATTTGCCTCTATACTTGCCTAACTATAATTTAATAGAGCTTACCTTTATAGTGCTTAAGGCATAAATTAAGAGAAACTATTTATACATTTAAAGGTGTTTTAGTAGTAACTTTAGTGCCTTTTTAAGGGCAGCTATTTAAAAAAGTAAATGTAACTATTTTACTTAAAAGCACTTTAAGTACACAGTAGAAAGGCTATATATTAAGTAAAAGGAGCTAGAGCGCGTAAGAAGAGAGCTAAGAGAGCTTAAGAGGGTAGAAGAGTTTAAATTTAAATAGATTATTTAGCTATATTATTTCTACTACTAGTTCTGCCTTACTTACTACTACCTATCTTAAGCAGGCTGCTAGCTGTATAATATATTAGCTTAAACTAACAGAGATTTTTATAAAAATAGTAAATAAGCCTATCTTTAAGCCTAAACTAGGTAATAGTAATAGTATATAGGTTACCTTTAACTCTGCTTATCTTGCAGAGATTTTTTATAGTCTATAGCTTCTTAGTTACTACCTCTTATATGTAAAAGTAAGAATTTTTTTTATTTTTTAGCTATTACTTAACTAACTACTTAAAAAAGTTTTTTACTATTTTTTAAGCATTCTATTTACTACCTTTTATTATAAGACTTAAAGAATAACCTAAAAATTAAGGCGCTATTAAGGTAATAACTAGTAAGGCATGTAGCTACTAGTAGTAAGAGAGTAGAGCAGCTCTTATAGAAGGGATACTAGCCTGCGCTTAAAGCTGTTAGAGATAGAGCTATTAAAACTCTTATTACTCTGCTTAAGTAGCTTTTTTATTACTTATCTTTACTATTTAGTTAAGTAACTACTACTAGCTTATTTACTTTACTAGCTTCTTAAATAACAGCTTATTTAATAATAATAAGCCTAGCCTTTTTTTTTTATCTTTTTATATGTAAAGGTTTACCTAGAGCTTGTTACCTTTTTACTACAGCGCTCTAACAATCTTATAACTAGGTACTATAACAGAAGACTCTTTTATAACTATAGACTTTCTTTACGCCTTAAAGTTAACTAGTTTAATAGTATAATAAGATTAGTCTAAGTAGATATAGCACTACTCTTTATAGTTATTACAAAGCTCTGTCTAGCACTCCTACGTACACGCAATTACTAAGTAGTAGTCTATTACCTTAGATATCTCCTCTACTTGCTTTGCTGCCCTAGCTTTACGCAGTAGCTACTAGGTATAATAGCTGCTTAGTATTGTTAGTGTAGTATTTAGATCTAACAATAGCTTATTAGCTAATTACCTGCACAGAAATGCTCTCTACAGAGCCTTAACTTTAACATAGAGCTTTACTTTAAAATCTACCCTATTAATTCTTTTAGTAAAGCGCTTAATATAGTAATTAACTGCTTTAAGTAAGTAAGCGCTCTTTATAAAACTAAAGTTAGCTAAGGTAATGTGCTGCTAGGTAGATTTAAGGTGCTTAGCTTAATAGCTTACTAAGTAACTAAGCTAAGTAACTTTCTACCTATTAATTATAAAAGCTGCATTAGCAAGCACTAAGTCTACTTTGTCCTTTATAAACAACATAGTAAAGACTAGCTGCTAGCAGTTATTACTGTTGTTAACTACCTAGTTCCTATTTACACGCAGAATATACTTTATATCTATCTTATAGTTAGGCTTTTTAGGAGGTAGGGATAATTGCTGCTAAGGCAATAGTTAACACTCTAGCTTTACTACTAATAGTAGTAATAATAGTATCTTAATAGCAGCTGTTAAAGCAGCAGTGTGCTGCTTCTTTATAAAGGTAACTTTTCTTCTTGTCTGCTTATTTAATCTACTAGCTTTTTAACCTCTAGAAGGTGCTTTAGAGGCTGCTGCAGCAAGGGCTCTAGCTGACAGTTAACAGGTAGCACTAGTACTTAAACGCGTGGCTGCTCTAGCTATGGCTTTTTAGCTAGAAATTGTTTGCTAAGGGCTATTTTAAACCTCTAAAATTTAGCTTTATTATTTCCTAATTAGGAAGTACGTACAGCTTTAAGATCTAACTAAAATAACAGATATTTAGGCATAGATGGGGGCAAATTGTTGCTTTGTCGAAGTTCTCATAGATTTGGTGAGGCGGAAAAGACGCAACGCGAATGCCAAGACATTGCACGGATTAACGCACACAATAGATCCGAGTCCCTCGCGCACTTGCCCTATGCGCGACCAGCTTGCAACATGCTGCAAAATGCTGCAAAATGCTGCAAAATGCTGCAACATGCTGCAAAATGCTGTAATTTGCTGCAACATGCTGCAAAATGCTGCAA